CTATAACATATTTTCAGTGCCTACACGGTTTGGATTACTGGAAGAAATTCTTCATGTGGTTTTCACAGTTTTACATGCTTCATGTTGTGCATTTTCATGAAGACATTTCATATACAGATGTTTAGATCTCTCCTTTTTGTGTCTGCCTGTATGGCAGGCAAGCATCCTACTGAAATAAAACAGAATACAGGAAAGGCCAACCAGAGATTGTATCACTAGTTGACTTATGAAGTCTTTGTAGACTGGACTCTTGCACGAGAGAAACAATAAACTGCACAATCACTACATTCCTACTAAACATCATGCACAACAATTAAATGTTAGCATGGTTCCAGTCATGTACATAATAAATAGAACATTAAACCTATTTGTCCCTTTTGTTTTCTCCGAGGTGAATTCTTCCTCTAGTACTGAGTTTTTCTCCAATATGCATGCATCTGCCACCAAATCCTCACTTTCCACCATCAAAATAGTCATGGGTCACTTCTGCAGGCACTGCTTTCCTTTGGACTCTTGCTGTGGTGACTGCACTCCAACCCACTCATTGCTCATTGCTCTCCCAACCCACCCCACCAGCTGCTTACTCCTAGACTCTAATGGTACAGTCTTGGTCCTATACTTCCTTATTCTGCTGCAGGCAACTGCTACACAGCTCATTGACTTCACACCACAATTCACTTCTTGTCTGAAAAGCCACTCTGCCATTCTATTACTGCTCTCTCCCCCAGACAAAAATACTGCTCCTCACACATTTTACTTACTTACTTACTCTACAGATCTCCTATACGTCCTCTCACAAATGCACACTCAGACTGGCAGTGCTAATTGTGCACTGCTTCCTTGCATTGCTCCCTGGCATCTCTTAGACCCCACCGGTTTTACTTTCCATTTCGTAAAGACTTCTGCATACTCATGTTCATTCTTACTTATATTTTGTTTCAGTAGTCTCTAAGTTACTGATCTGGAATGAATAAGCAAATCAGCAAAGTCAAAGTAAAATCCAATCTACTAACCTGTATATTTGTTATGGTCAGAGCCTCTGAAAGTACTGGAGCCATAGGCTCAGCATGACATACAGGCAATTGTCAATTTTAAAAAAAAGAGAGGTCAGCAGTGGCAGTCTGCATAATGCATACACGCCTTTCTTTAGCATGCTCTACCCATTCCATTTCCATGTCTTCTTTCAGAGTGTCCTCTCTTCCTGCTCACGTCCCCATCTACTGCTCATTTATATTTTAATGTCCTGCTCCTTTTACTACACTCTCTAGTTACTGCTCATCCCCATTATCTTCCCCATTTTTGTGAATACCTTCTCGATCACCTATCTTCTCCTCCTTACCAACAATCTTAAACCATCCTGAATCCCATATAGCTCCAGAACATGACTCCATGTCTTTGGTCCATGTCATCACCAATTTTCATATCAAAAAGAGTAAATTAGAGGCCTGGGATTTTTAATTGACACCAAGAATACAAACAGCTGGATTAAAATTCACAATATTTATTATTCCTTATTCTTAAAAGAAACAATCATTTACAAGTTATTAAAAAACAACAGTAGAAACTGTACATAGATTCAAAACCACCACATACATATAGTACAGCACATCTTCAGTGCTTAAAGTGTACAAAAAAACCCAAGTTGAAACATGATGGGGGTTTTTTTTGTACACTTTAAGTATTGAAGATATGCTGTACTATATACAGTATATGGTGATTCTGAAAGTATGTACACTTTCTTTTGTTGCCTTTTATTATGTTACAGACTATTGTCTCTTTTAAGAAATTGTAATAATACATATTATGAATTTGAATCCAGTTGTTTGTATTTTTGGTCCCAATTAAAAATCCCAGGCCACTAATTTACCTTTTCGATACAACTATATAGGGATGTGGCACCTTCAAACTAGTTTGGTTCTAATTAAGACTTTTAATCACCATCAATCACCAGTGCTCTTGACTGCTCATACATGCCTCTCTCGACCTCTCCCCCCACCTAAAAGACATGGAATCCTGTCTTAGCATGCTAGATATTTATTTCTGGGTCAGCAAATCAAAAAGAATTAATACCAAGACAAGAAAATGATAGAATTTAGTTTTATAATGAGGTTAACAATGGCACACCATATACAGAAATGGTTCCCTTCATTTCCTGACCATGATTTCCATACTGAAGCTAAACTTTGTATTTAAGGAAACGATCACTTTTACTTGAATTTATTTTTTTTTTAAAGTCCGCGATGGTGCAAAAAAATTAAAGACCCGGTAAGTGTACAAAAAACGTGCAAGTGTAAAACCCACAAAAAAAGTGCACTTAGGCGTGTGCTTTGTCCACCTCCCAAAGGGGTAGGACCTATACCCTGATCCTCCATGGTGCAAGCCCCTGACAGGGATAAGGCTTCCAACATGATCTGCGTAGCCAAAAGACTTTGCAGAAACCTTGCAGCTTGAGGACCGAGTGAGAAAAAAAAAACACACATAAGTGAAAATGACAAACAGTGGAGGAAAATAAATTTATCAATAAATATGTGGCTATGCAAGAGTGCACTGGCTAGGCCCTGAGGCCTGATAGCAAAAATTGCCCCAGACGTAGCCAAAAGGCTTAGCCCTAAAAGGCACAGAGCAGATAAACTGTTTGCAACTGTGACCATGTGCATTTTTCACTCATTGAGGTCCCACACCCAAGTGTTACTAGGAGCAACCCTGGGGCCACCACTCCCAAGGGGGCACAGCATTGCGAACTCTCTACCTCCCCAGCCCTTGGCCAGACAATGTAGACCCATTCAGATCAGGAGGAACTGGGCCCCTCCGGTTTTACCCATGGGAATTACTCCTGGGCGGGCCCCAACAGCCTGTGGGCGCATCGGTTTCTGTTCCAGCCAGTACTAGTCTTCAGAGCCTCCATCATACAGCCAGCCATTCTCACAAGAGGCAAGAATGATGGTGGAGACCCCTACTGGACACTGATAAGAACAGATACTACATTTGATCTTAGCCAAAATGCAAAGAAGCAAAGTGACAGTGCCTCTTTAAATACAGAGTCAGCAGATACAGAGGTAGAGTTTCTACACAATCCAGCAGCTCTCCTGACGTTTTATGGTTAAATTGCAGGACAAAATAAAGTGTGAAAACATCACTTTTGAAAGAAATACTTTTTAATATTAAAAAGACATTGTCAATTTGCCCATTTGTGGGAAATTAACAGTGCCTGCTGATAGTCCACCCTCCCAGCAAGCTATACGTATTAATCAGCACTCCCTCACCTTCCCTCTGTAGGATTCAACCTTTGGCAGAATTCAGTATCAGATGGTGTCAGACTGGATGATGCCAGTGCCTCTTCCATTACTTTGTTCTTTCCTGCAGTGCATACATAATATGTCAGGGTTACAGCCGGCGGTGTAGTAACTGCCTGCTTTTTCCTGCTTACGGTAGGTGAAAAACGAAAGCCATCCTTACTTACGAATGTAGCCTTTTCTTGAGAGTGTTGCAAGGGAGGAATGTCTTGCCTTCATGATTCATAAAACATTTCCCTCTTTGATGAATGAATCAATATAACAAGTGATAATAGCACTCAGTTTGCCACTTTTAGCATGCAGAATCACAAATCACAGCTTGATGAATTAGTCCCGTATCAGAAAAAGTAGAATTAAAATAATAATAATCTTACTGTAAATGATTCAGGAAAGATACGATAGGGATTATTTACACAAAGGTAGGGATGAAATTAGAATATTCCTTTAAATGACAACTCTTAGCAACAATCAAAATTAACCAGTTGAAGTAGAACCGTAGGGAAAATGTAAAAATCACCATATTAGGATGCATGTATACTTTATAAAGTAAACTGCACCTTTCTGTTTGCGGCTTCTTCCTTTTTATATGGTAAAAACCTAGTGATCCTGCCAGCGATTGAGACTTACTCTGACATACTTTGACAGGGTGACAGTACTAAATGCCCTGCAGTGAATTCACTGCAGTGTTGTTACCCTGTGCAACTATTATAGCCTTTAGGACTACAGGGCTGTGAGTTTAGGTACATCAAGGAACAGGGTTATCAGCATTGTCAGCCTTCTCATACTAATCAGTGCAGAACATGTCCAGGTCCTCTCCCAGCCTCACCTCTAGGTGTGGTGATTGACAGCTCACTTCACTGACAGATCAGTTACAGAGAAGAGTGAGCACGCCTGCAGAGCATCTAGGAAAAGTGACATCTGAACCCTTCCTGCTGGCTTGAGCAGTAAGAAGACTTCTTCTAAAAAACATTTTAGAAAGTCAAGTTGAAGGTATATAAAAATATAAAACTGTTTATTTATACACTATATTGCCAAAAGTATTGGGACGCCTGCCTTTACAGGCACATAAACTTTAATGGCATCCCAGTCTTAGTCCATAGGGTTCAATATTGAATTGATTTGGCCCACCCTTTGCAGGTATAACAGCTTCAACTCTTCTGGGAAGGCTGTCCACAAGGTTTAGGAGTGTGTCTATGGGAAGGTTTGACCATTCTTCCAGAAGCGCATTTGTGAGGTCAGGCACTGATGTCGGATGAGAAGGCTTGGCTTGCAGTCTCAGCTCTAATTCATCCCAAAGGTGTTCTGTCCGGTTGAGGTCAGGAATCTCTGCAGGCCAGTCAAGTTCCACCACCCCAAACTCTCTCATCCATGTCTTTATGGGACTTGCTTTGTGCACTGGTGCGCAGTCATGCTAGAACAGGAAAGGGCCATCCCCAAACTGTTTCCACAAAGTTGGGAGCATGAAATTGTCCAAAATGTCTTGGAATGCTGACGCCTTAAGAGTTCCCTTCACTGGAACTAAGGGGCCAAGCCCAACCCCTGAAAAACAACTCCACACAATAATCCCCCTTCCACCAAACTTTACACTTGGCACAATGCAGTCAGGCAAGTACTGTTCTCCTGGCAACAGCCAAACCCAGACACGTCTATTGGATTGCCAGACAAAGAAGTGTGATTCATCACTCCAGAGAACAAGTCTCCACTGCTCTAGAGTCCAGTGGCGGTGTGCTTTACACCACTGCTTCTGACGCTTTGCATTGCATTTGGTGATGTAAGGCTTGGATGCGCTGCTCGGCCATGGAAACCCATTCCATGGAGCTCTCTACACACTGTTGTTGTGCTAGTCTGAAGGCCACATGAAGTTTGGAGGTCTTTAGCTATTGACTCTGCAGACAGTTGGCAACTTCTGCGCACTGTGCGCTGCAGCATGCACTGACCCTGCTCTGTCATTTTTTGTGGCCTACCACTTCGTGGCTGAGTTGCTGTTGTTCCCAGTTGTTTCAACTTTGTTATAATACCACTATCAGTTGAAAGTGGAATATTTAGTAGCAAGGAAATTTCATGGATGAACTTATTGCACAGGTGGCAACCCATTACAATACCAGGCTTGAATTCACTGAGAGCGACCCATTTATTCATACTTTTATGTTTGTAGAAGCAGTCTGTATGCCTAGGTGCTTGAATTTATATACCTGTGGCCATGGAGGTGATTGGAACACCTGAATCCAATGATTTGGAGGAGTGTCCCAATACTTTTGGCAATATAGTGTATGTGGGGTGGGGAAAGTGGTATGCCAGAAAAAAAAATAGCCAAAAAAACATAGACAGATATAAAATGAGTTCTATCTGAAAAAGACTGCAACTAAGCTAAAGTTAGGACATCCATTCAGTTTACCATTAATCTGAGTCTTGTAGCATATTTTTCTGTTCTTGGTGAGACAACATCCTCTTGTTATATGTTCTGTCCAAGTTCCTTCCATCTCTCCCATAATTAGCAAGGAAACCACAGTGATTAAAGCCAGACGTATCTAGCCTTCACCTTTGCAAGCTCAGGGACTGGAGTTCCTGTAACACTCCAACTATGCTCAAACAGAAGCCAGCCAACATGACTATGAGGCTCAACTGGTGAGTATGGATGGGCAATATGATTTTGGAAAAGTTGAGTTTTCTGTGAAATTATAATTTTTATCTTCAATGACATTTTATTGAAGTGGAAGCCCCTAATTTTGATCATTGCTCATTCGCTTATGCAAAAGTAACTTGAAAAATATCAACTCTTTTGTTTAGAAGGCTTGCTTTTTCGTGTGTGTGGGAATATTTAGGGAAGCTTAGGTAATTTAGTTTTGTGTTCTTTTTATTTGTATTTTTTCCACTTTTTGGGTATTTAATAATTGCTCTGTCACATTCATTTTTTTATTGTAATAATTATTTTACCTGCCTGTGTTCTCATTGTGAACAAAATAATATAATGAGGTTCTTGGGGGAGGTTGTGGCACACAAACAGTTCCAGGGTAAATAAAGAGAGCTTTTGTAATCCTCATAGGTCTCTTATATCCCAATGAAACTTAAAAAAAAAAACACATTAAGCTCTCCTTCCCCATTGACTCCAATGCATTTAAAAAGGGTGGATTTCACTAAAATCTCATAATTTTGACCGACATTTTGAAGAAATAAAAACTTTCATTTTTGCTCATTTCTAATGGTGAGATGTGTGGGTCAGTCATGATGTAATTCTTTTTTTCCCAGTTGGATATTTTATTTTATAGTTAAAGCAACAGAAGGTAAAGGCCATGAGCATGCTTGTTGTAGGAGTCAACAGGAACACGATAAATGGTTTGGAGCGCCATTAAGATAGAAAAAGTTAAAGGTGACTGGGTCCATCAGGTTCAACTTATAACTGAAAAATCATGATTTAATTTACTGACCCCTTTATTCATCAGTTGGACTAGAATGTATCTTTAAATCATTCTTTTGACATCACTGACGCAGAGGACAAGGGATGGTTATCAGCATGGAGTAATAGATAAATCTCTGCCTAGAAGAAAGTTGAGTTCTCTTTGCCAGTCTGGAGATGTTGCTTCCTTGTCAAGACAAGGTCACGTCAAGGCAAGTTCAGAGTAAAATGATGGATGGCGGCAGATACCAGACAACAGGGTGTATGTGCCATGTCAAGCTATACGCCTTACAGACACAAATACAAACATGCCGGGTGGCCTTACTAATCAATTTAGAGCATTTTTGCATTCTGGGCTTCGTGTCTTCTGTCACATAACTGCTTTGAACATCATCAGTTGACATGATGCTTGCAGAATCGCCAAGCACTAGGAAATCTGAACCTTGTACTTTCCAGATCTGGTCAGCGGTAAATCAAGTGTGTAGAATATTAAACATCAAAGTCTAATATCCCTCCAAGCGGCAATCAATTCCGACACAAATAGGATCATTTAATTTACTGAAGGAGGTGCTACATTTTGTCAATGAGTGACTTGCCTGCACAAGTGGCATCTTGAAGGCAGCTGCCATTTTTAAAGTCAGACTTAATCAGTGAACACAGATGAATATAGGTGAGCCATGCCATAAAAAGTTAAGTAAATATAAAACATTTTTATTGTAAAATTAAACAGCATGTGTTATGTTTTAGAGAACAGAAATCTTTGGAAATGATACTACTGGTATTTTTTTTATGTAAAATATGAATTTTTTAATTGTTTTAATTAAATTAAAAACTATGACAAGTAATTACTTACAAAACAGGTTACACAGTCAGAACTCTTCATAGAAACACAGAAGAGTGAAGCACAAAAAGACCAAATGGTCCACAGGGTCTGCTCATTAAATTTGTATTTTTAATTTTTTTTGCTTTTTGTTCTTTTTCACTTTCTTTTCCTTTGATCGTTTTTGTTTTTTAACCTTTTTGTCTTAGTATAGATCTATGTTTGTCCCAAGCATGTTTACATTCACTTACTGCAGACTGATTCACTATCTCTTCTGCAAGGTTTAAGCATTAACTACTCTTTTGGTAAAAACCTCCAAAACTATCCAGCTATATTACAGCCAAATATTTTTGTTTTATGCTTTTTTTCAGATTTTTTATTCTGTCTGTGATCCTATTTGGGATATTTCCCCTCACTTCCTGTCTCTGTAACACCTGTACAAGACAAGGGGGGAGCTATCGTCACTGCATCAGAAAGGGACAGAAATAAACCCTTCCCCACTTTACTGAAAAAGTGTTTTCATTTTTTGCCTGTATCACCCTTGAAGAACCATCCCATTTCTGTCCTGACAATAAATAGTGACACAGATCGCAAAACAAAAATTAAACTAGGCCCCAACCCTTTCCTAATCATTTAGTGGACATTTATAGCCACCCCCCCGCACCAAATATATCCTTTTCTAAAAGTATATAGTATTCAGCCTTAGAAAATGAGCACAACACATTTTTGCTTTGGTCCAGTTCTTTGCAGTTCTCTGCATTTGGTTGCATTACATATTAAAGCCACAAAGAAAATCAACAAAAGACTGCCTTGGTCAGGTGTGATGATAATAGGTAGATATACAACAGGAAGCAGATAGATATAAAATGACTAAGCAGGTCTTATTCTGAATAAGTAGCCAGCCCAGAAGCCATGTGCAAATGACTGCCATTCTGCAAGTAGGCTGTATCTCTAGTTTCAAAGCACACAGGAGCATGCTTTGAATTGTTACTCACCTGGTGAGCAGTTGGTAAACTCAATGTCGTCAATGGCTGCTCCTCCACCAAAATTTTTTGTGCGTACTCCTTCAAAAATAACTTCAAAATGTCTCAGCTTCCCAAGGTGAATTGTTACTTCATTCCATTTGGCTTCTTGTTTCTCCGACTCTCCCCATACATTTTTCAGGCTAGTCTCTGTCTAAATAGAGGCCAAAATCAATGTTATATCACACCAGTAATTTAGTATGAAACAAAAAGATGTTAAAAGGGAGGAATATGCTGTACTTCCAGTGACTCATGTGATACAGTGTTTTGATACTACCATGGCATTGGTAGGAGATCAGTGGAAAAGTTAGGAGCAAAGATCATTTGTTAGTCAGCATCTTAGAACATCATAAAGCTGGCAACAGACAGTGAGATTTGCTTTGGATCTGTCAGATTAATCAATATACTAATAGCTGTGTATAGAGAAGGCCAACCTTGTTGGATGTTATATGAATTGATTGCTTATGTAAGTACTTACACTACACATTGGATGGTAAATTTATCTAAGGTGACAAATCTAATCTGAAAAAAAATTATCATTGTATCATCTGCATAAAAACGAATACTGAAATACCATTCTAAAGTGTTTATTCACTCAACAGCCTCTTTATTAGGTACACCTATTCAATTGCTTGGTAACACAAATTGCTAATCAGCCAATCATATGGCAGCAACTCAATGCATTTAGGCATCTAGACGTGGTGAAGACGACTTGCTGAAGTTCAAAACAAGCATCATAATGAGGAAGAAAGGGGATTTAGGTGACTTTGAACATAGCATGGTTGTTGGTGCCAGACAGGCTGGTCTGAGTATTTCAAAAACTGCTGATCTACTGGGATTTTCACATACCACCATCTCTAGGATTTACAGAGAATTGTCAAAAAAGAGAAAATATCCAGTGAGCAGTAGTGATGGGCTGAACACCCCTCCCCCCCCCCCCCCCAGTTCGGTTCGCGGTCGAGCATTCAAACCTAACGAAAGTTCGACCGCGATCTTCGAAGAGGGGACAATTTACTAAGCAGTATCTTACCACATCTGAGTATGTGGTAAGATATGGCACAGCTACTGAAATACCTCATGAGTTATATTATTAAGTCATGTGTTATTTTAGTAGTAAAAACATTCTTTCATGTTTCATCTGTCAACGGGGTTCCCAGCTGACAGCTGAATGTAAAAAGAACTGCCAGCAGTGCCCAGCAATTAAAAGAAAAAAGTGTGGGGTCCCTCCCATCCATGCAAAAGTCATTTGGATCTGGTATGGATTTTAAGGGGAACCACCCACACCAAAATATCCACCAGACCCTTACTCGAGCATGCAGCCCAGCAGGTCAGGAAAGGGGGAGGATGAGCGAGTGCCCCCCCCGAACCACACCAGGTCACATGCCCTCAACATAGGGGAGTGCTTTGGGGCAGGGGGGCTTCCCCCCCAAAGCATCTTGTCCCCATTTTGATGGGGGAATTGGCCTATTCCCCACAACCATGGCCGGTGGTTGTACGAGCCTGCAGGGGGCTTATCGGAATCTAGAAGCCCCCTTTAACAAGGGGGGCCCCAGATTCCTGCCCCACCGCATGTGAATGAGTATGGGGTACATGGTACCGCTATTCATTCACAACAAAAAAAAGTGTAATGCAAAAAAATGACTGTAGACAGTCTTTGACAAGTCATTTATTGAAAACAAAAATGTAAAAAAAATGTCCCCTGAAGTACATCCAACGTTATTCACGATGCATGGCACCAACGCCAACCCGAAAGAAGGAAAAAAAAAACATTCCACTCTCGAAGCTGGCTCCCACCACCTGACAGCTGCAGCGGGATGACAGTTCTTAAATACTGTGCTATCTCACAACCCAGAGCCTTATCTCACAAATACTTGTGATGTCATCATGCACTGTGATTGCCAAAGCATTGCACCTGAACTGTGGTCAGGTGCA